TTGTGGCGAAAGGATTTCTAAAGAAAGAAGGAATAGACTTCGACGAAGTTTTTGCACCTGTTGCTAGGATCGAAACAATCAGGTTGGTTGTTGGTCTAGGCGAAATAAACAGTTGGCACATATGTCAGATGGACGTGAAGTGTGAATTCCTAAATGGACCCTTAGATAAAGAAGTCTATGTTAAACAACCAGTTGGGTTTGTGAAACATGACGAAGAAAGAAAGGTGTACAGGCTACATAAAGCCCTGTATGGATTGAAACAAGTTCCAAGGGCTTGGAATAAGAAAATTGATAGTTTTCTAAGGGAGAAGGAATTTGTGAAGTGCACAACTGGACATGGAGTATATGTAAGAAGAAGCAAGAGTAAATTGCTTATACTATGTCTCTATGTAGATGATTTGTTGATAACAGGTAGCTGTAAAAGTGAGATCGAAGACTTCAAAGGTGATCTCAGTAAGGAATTTGAAATGTATGATTTGGGTGAAATTTCATATTTCACTACAAGAAAAATGATAGATTGGGACGGTTATTTTGGCTGATTACGACGGTTAAAACCGTCGCAATTTACAATCTACGACGGTAGAAGTACCGTCGCAGAATCGTGCGTCCCCAGCCTATTTCGCGACGGTTGCAAAACTGTCACGCACAACAGATAGCGACGGTTATATACCGTCGTGAATTTGACTTTATTTTTTGTTTTTGTTGTTGTTCGCGACGGTTATTCTACCGCCGTAGGTTAGAAATTGCGGCGGTTTTAACCGTCGTAATCTGATTTATAAATTTCAAATAATATTTTTATTTAAATTATTATTTAGTAAAATAATTTTAAATATAATATTATTTTACTATAATATTTTACTATTATATTTAAATTATTATTTACTTTAATATTTTTTTATTTATAGTATTTTTATTTTATTTTCTATCACTTTTCAACATAATAAAGTTAATTACAATAAAAACATTTAATATCAAATAATCATCAATAATATCAAAAAAATGTGATCAAAGGTAAAAAGAAGTGCAAATTTTACCAATAAACAAGAAAAATTCAAATATCATCAAAGGCCAAATTTCATTTTAATATTTACATTGGTTTGCTACAACTTGAGAGAATTACAAAAAATGTTACAATATTCTACAAAATTCATGAATGTCGATCTTCCTTCCAGTCCCTTCTCCGTCTCTCTGTTCCAACAACCTTCCAGCCTCTTCATCATTCTGAAGAGCCTTCTTCTGCGTCTCCGAAGCCTTAAGCGCCTGCAACTTGGAATGATTATAATACGCAACCCCCAAAAACGCCAACCCATAACCAATCAAATTAACCGGAGTAACAGTATCCTTAATCAAATTAACTTGGAATGATTATATTAGCAAACTGTTGTAAGAGTTTGATTCTTCTTGAATCGAACCATGAACGTTCATAGTAACCGTGACTGTAACCACAGTTTAAAACACTAATATCTTACCAACTGGAGAAACTCTTCCCAGGAGAAGCAGGACGCGCCAAATTCCTCAGCTTCCTTCTTTTGGTTTATAAATGGTATTTATGAACAGCAAATATAGTGTAAGTGTAAGAAATGATGTAAAAATAGCGTAACTGTTTGAGTTTAAAAATGTGTTTTTTTTTAAACATCTAAAATATTATATTACTTAACAGCACAAAAAGTGCAAACCAAGTCTAATACAAGACAACCTGTGTAATACATATGCAGCAAAACCAGAGAACCTACATGATTATTTAAACATCCCCAAAACAGTAAAATATAACCAACTTCACTAGCAATACCAATACTTAAATTAGGATAAACTAGCCAAAAGAAATTAGAAAAACAGGATAAACTATATGGACACACCATTCTAACACCCCGAAGACTCCTGACACTCTGTTATGATAAAACATCATCTCCAACATAAATTATGGTAAACACAACTTGAAAAAGGGCAACGAGAACTACGCTAATCGAATTTGGGAGTCTACAACCACTGCTTCGAATTGAGCGAGATAGGAAATTCATCTGGCACACCCCAAGCACTGTCGTAGGCTGCATAACCACTTCCCGAGAGAATAATTGAACTCCGATGCTTTGCTCTTCAACCATTTCCATGACAGAATTTTTGCTTCTTCAGTTAACTGATCTAACTTTTTCTCTAAATATTTTCCCATTATGCCCTTTCCAAATTACTCAAATACAATCATACTAGATAACATTGAATTTTTCAGTCTTGATTCTGCCCATTCCCCATAAACCACTGAATTGTTGGAAGTTTGAAATAATTGAGTTGTGTAGCGCACTAGAGATGCTTAACCATCAGATGATAGTTGCCCACACCTTCAGGTTTAAATCATACTAAAAAATGTGAGAAACATTTTCAATAGTCATGCAACCAAATGAACAGTCTGTTTGTGAACCGTTCAACACTCCTCCCTTGTGAAGGTTATCTTTAGATGGAATTCTATTTTGGAATAATCGCCACACCTGAATCGCTACCTTTAGCAGGATGAATTTGTTCCAAACTTCTACAAGTCTCAGCCTTTCAACGTCAACTGAATTCTCCATAATTATGATATACGGCTCTTTAACATTATATATTCCTGTGCCCCATGTCCAAGTATCCACTTTCTCGGTATTAATGATAATACTTTGCAATTTTTTCTTCAATTCCTCATCTAGCGTGGACTTTTCTTGAGATAAGTTTCTATTCCAGTTAAAGTTCCAAAGAGTTGTACTTACTATCAAACCCTTTACTCTCAAATTTTTATCTTGACATATTGCATACAAACTCAAAAAACTATCTTTAAGAGAAAAGTTCTCACACCAGGGTTCTATCCACACGAATGTGTCCTCCCTATTTCCTATCACTCTCTTCAGCTTTCTTGATAACCAGTTTTGGTCAAATCTCCCTGTTCCATTTTAGATACTTTGAATATCCTTCCACCATGTTGAACAATTTCTCCCTACTCCCCTATTCCTACAGTTTGTCTTACCATATTTGCAAGCTAAAACCTTGTACCAAGTGCTGTTTTTGTTTACCACGAGGCGCCATTTCCATTTATCTAATAACGTTAAGTTGAAAGCTTTTAAAATTTTTATCCTTAACCCCCCTTTCCCCTTCTCTCGACACACCTTGTCCCATTGAACCCACTTGATAATGTGTACTTTGTTCGTCTCTTAATTTAACTCCCCCCTCTTTTGATAAAGGGTTAAATATGTTTTTGAGAAGCTGATATGTCTAGCTTCTGTTCACCGTGATTTTCATGTTTTCCACACACGCACTATACCGAGTTGTAACTTTGAGAGAAATGAGAGGACATTTGTTCTTACCAAAAGCTGCTCAAGGAAACAGAAATAAGCAAGCATGCTGACAATGACAAGCACAGGTAACTCCTGCCAAACCCTGTTAAATTGTGCACACAAATTGAAGTGTTACCGGTAGCAATTACTTTTAGTACAAGAAAGATACAAAGAGAACGCTATATTCCATTTATAAACCAATGCACTTGTATCGACCGCAGAAATCCCAAAACAAAATTGACTACATGATAATATCTTTCTGCTCTAATTTCTTTAAATCAATGCACTTATTATCTTTCTGCTCTAATTTCTTTAAATCAAGGTTGTAATAAATTGCCATGTTTGTGAAACTTACCAGAAAAATGAAGAAAGCTGTTGAGAGCAAGCATAGAAAGGATTCGGTTCTCTATGTCCTTGGCAGAATTTAATTTATTTACAAACTGCTTTAGCAGACAGACACGGGCTGCTCCTTGTATCCCTGTATCTGGTAGAATGGTTAGCATGTTTACGAGCCAAGTAGCGGATATAAAGCATGCTGAACGCAGTTCTGAAATTCTGCTCTTCATGCCATCTGCCAAAGCTTCAAAAAGTATACCAAACTCGTGGCTAACTAGAACAGACGCAATTTTTCTTTCCCAATCATCTGCTGCCTTCTCTTCTTCCTGTTGATTCCGAGTACACATATAATTCTTCTTCCAAGTGCCGATTAGATAGTAGCATCCAATATTTACATATGCCACAAATACTTGCCATCACATGATGCAATTAATCTTCAAAAGTTAATCTACTTCCGGGTTCACGAACTCATTCACTCCAAACTTCTTAGCTGTGAACAAGATTGATTATTACTAAAGTTAGTCCTTGAATTTATGTTGTTGACCAAAATCTTAAATCATTAGATGGAACACAGAAAGTGTTGTACCTAATTCAAATCGGCTGGAAACTAAATCAACTCCAATAATTAATTTTTATATTTGATATTTTTATATATATTTAAACAAATATATAACTTTCTATAATTATATCTTTCAATAGGCTTATCATTTTCAACAAATAAGACATGTAGATCCATTATTATTTATAAACACATTCAAGGAAAGGTTCTTCGCTCTTCAAGACTAAATTTTTAAAGAGGCAGTTATGAACTGATAAGTAACAATATTACAAAGCCAAACTACATTATTATTTATAAGTATTAAAATTATCTGTCAAATAGAATCTGTAATTAGCTACGGCATAGTTATTTGGGGGTTCCTACTTATTCGACATAACAGACACACGTAGAACGACGTAAAATATTTGTTAGCAATAGAAAAGAAAAGAATTGAGGAAATGGAAACTAGGTAGTTAAGACTAAGAGATTTTAACAAAGTCTAGCAATGATTCGCTGATATTTCTTGAAGCAACGTACAAGTAAATACCTGAAAGTACAGTTTTTAAAGTTTGGGTTTAAATTCTTTAGTTGCATATTAATACCAAATTTTCAGGAGAGTAAACATAGTTATTCTATACTGAGTGTGGGATTAGCTTTGCATTATTTGGGAGTCATTTCATCTGTCAAGTCTAACTTTAGATTTTTCGGCAAGACAAACTAGAATCACCTATCAACATATAAAATATATATGTTCTGCTTCTCTTAGATGACAATCACCAAGACTATTTCTTGTCTAGTTAAGTATTAAAGTAGAATGTTATTGAATTTTTTCAGATCACAGTTTTGTGATTTCTCATAGATGAATATTCAGTAGAATTGCTAGAGCTATTAGTTGAATTTTTAGATCATATTTTGAGTAAGCCATTCAAATAACTATAAATGATTTAAATAGAAAAGGTCCCTACTAACCATCCACTATAATTTTCAGTCCACATTTTCGGTTTATTGTCAGAGTTTGGTGTGAATTGATCGCAGTAAAATCCATTGCATGTGTTAATCTGTGAGTATTTAAGATAGAATATTACAAAACTTAACAATCAAGTAGTAAGATAATCCAGTAAAACATAAACTGCATAAAACTCTCTGGATAGGTAAAAGGAGAAAACATACAATTGGATCAGGCGCGTTTACTTGCTGGCACATAACCCAGGGAACACCTGTATCAAGAGATGTAGCCATCGATGCTGCCCAATTGATGTAAGATTTACCAGCAGGACCATAGTGTATATCAACGTTTCCATACTCATTTTCAATCTGGCATACCAAATAACTGAGCAATAATTTCCTTAAAAAAAGAAAATTGGCTTGTATTTTGATGATTTTAAGAGAATGAAACCTGAGATAAAATGATAGGTCCTCCTTGTGATGCATAGAGATTCTCTTGCTTCATCAAATCCACAATCTTTGCTGTAAACCGTTTCATTTCTGCCTTGAATGGTTCATTATCAGTTCTGAACTTAATTCCCGGAATAAAATGCAACCAAAGAGGGAAACCACTGTTTAGGAAGGGAAAAGAAATTAAAGTCAGGGATTAGATATTATGATGAAACTGTCTTCAAAATGATACATTGAAAAGATCCAATTTTACCCGTAATTCCATTCTGCACAAGCGTATGGACCGATCCGGAGATGAACATATAGACCTGCTGCTGCTACTGCCTTCACAAATCCAACCAAATCACCCCTACCTTCAAAATTGTACTGCCAAGCCAAAATATGTAATCCATCGTTAATTTTGAGAACTCACAAAACTGCAATGTAAAAGACAGAAGAATAACAATATGAAAGTGGAAAGACAATGAAAAAGAACAGAACCTGGCGTCGAACAGGTTCGTGTAAGTTCCAGAAAACATAAGTCTCAATGACATCAATTCCTCCATCTTTGGATTTCTGAATAAGGTCTGGCCACATCTACAACAACAACAACACTACCATTGTTAAGTTCAAACATCAAACACAAATTGAATAAATAGTGCATATCTACTAGCACAGACACGATAATAGTTTGAAATAAATTGAAGTGACTAAATGTAACCATTTCAGAGATATCTTACGATAATAGTGCATAATGCTTTGGTCAGAATCACACTCTGCAACAGAATATGATGCTTAAATGGTTATAAAGTCCTTTTACAACACCCACTAGGCACTATATAGCATAGCATATCAGAATTCTATAAACTCAGCCATACCTTGAGTTGAGCATTACAACAAACACTTGATGAGCATCCTCTCTACTCATTCCCTTCTTGAACATACTGATGTTACGGGACTCCAATCTTCAACTAGGAATTTTAACAAACACCTTGACACCAATGGCAAAAGACACCAGCGTCAACGTGCTACTGGACTCCAATATTCAACTATGCATTTTCACAAACACCTTGACACTAATGGAAAAAGACACCACCGTTAGCCTCTACAATAACACCATCGCCATCACTGATCTAAAGCTCCATCATCTAATGTCAAAGCTCCGACGGGATCAAAAATTGTGATCTAAAACAAATTAAAAAATATAAACAAATGTATCGATATATAGAAAAGGGAAAAAAGTACCAAATTGAATCCATATCTTCCTCTCTCTTGTTTGCAACGCATCATCTTGTATCAATCAAATACCTCTTCCTTTTCTTTCCTTCTTCAGTGGCGGCGATGGAAGCGTGGTTTGCAAAGGGTTGGCTGACGAAGGTGTGTGTTGAATTGTTGAGTAGAGACGCAGGGACCAGCTGAGTTGATGAACGAAACAACGGATAAAGATTGTTGCGGTGGATGTGGTTCATCAGATTTTAGCGGTTTGAGGAGGCGGTTGGTTGTGCCTTATTGGTGGGTTGTCGGATGGCTCACGGTTGGAACGGTGAGAGGTGCGATTGCAACGGAATCGTCGGGGTCGGATCGGAAATGGAGCGTAGCACCTTCGTAGCTGGCGACGGCGTGGGCGCCATTGTGCGTCATTTGTGCACGATTGAGAGGAGGATAGGTTGGCAATGGTTCGGTGACTTTGCGTGTTCAGATCCATTCGGAAAAGCTTAAAGGAGCTTGTGAATTTGTTCTTTTTTGTTCTGTTTTGGTTTCGATAACGAATTGTGAACGATTCTGCAGAAACCGGTTAGGAATTGCGGTACAACTCAGCTTTTTTTAACTTTTTTATGGCGACGGGTGTTTTACCGTCGTGCCCATGAGAATTTTTAAAGGTTTTGGGTGCGACGGTTGTTTTACCGTCGTGAAATGAATTTTAGGACGGATAATTTTACCGTCGTGAAAGGTTTAAGGGTGCGACGGGTGCTTTACCGTCGTGATATGCCTTTTAGGACGGTTAATTTTACCGTCGTGACTAGTTGTCGGTGAAAAATCAATGTTAAAAGTGTTAAATGGGGGCCGACGGTTGTTTTACCGTCGTAATAATAATATTATGATGGTTAAATATACCGTCGCAAAATAAATATTAGGGACGGTTGGTGTCAACTGTCGTAAACACTGTCTCTATATGTCAATTACGACAGTTATCACATAACTGTCGCAATTTTTGTGTCGTTAAACACTAATTTTCTTGTAGTGTTTCCTTGATATCGAATTCTACAAGAGCAGTAGAGGTTTGATGATGCATCAAAGAAGATATGCAGGAGAAATTCTCAAGAGGTTTGAGATGGAAGAATGCAACTCAACTTCGACACCTGCAGGACCAAGACTACAACTGTTGAAAGATGCAGATGAAGATGATGTTGATCCAACCCAATACTGAAGACTTATTGGATCATTAAGATATCTTTGTCATACAAGGTCTGACTTAGCATACAATGTAGGTATGGTAAGTAGATTTATGCAGAAGCCAAAGGTATCACATCTAGCAGCAGTGAAGAGGATACTAAGGTATCTCAAAGGAACTTTCGATTATGGTATTTTGTTTCCTGCTGTTGATAAAGGAAAAGAATGCAAGTTAGTGAGATACACTGATTCGAGTTGGTGTAGTGATGCTGAAGATCGAAAGTCAACAGCAGGTTATGTGTTTATGCTAGGTGGTGCACCAATTGCTTGGAATTCAAGAAAGGAACCAGTAGTGGCATTATCATCATGCGAAGCAGAATACATAGCTGCTTCTCTTTATGCATGTCAAGCAACATGGATGGTGAACTTGGTCGAAGAGATAACAGGGGAAAATCATGGAGCAATTACCATGAAGATAGACAGCATGTCAGCTATTAATCTAGCAAAGAACCTAATAGCACATGGTCTAAGTAAGCACATAAAAATGAGATTCCATTATCTTCGAGAGTAGATAGCAGATGGGAAGATGAATTTGGAACACTGCAGAACTGAGAATCAGATTGCAGACATCATGACGAAGGGGGTGCAAGTCGAAGTATTCAGAAAGCTAAGAGCCATGATGAACATAGACAGTTTAGACACAATGAATTAGGTGGTGTGTTAAATTGTAATTCATAGTGTCAAAGAAGATTTGATTTATTTTAGATTTAAATAAATTTGATTTAAGTCCAGAATAGATTTGATTTGATTTGATTTAGTAACAAAAGATATTTTGGGCTTTGGGCTTAGGGTGTAAGCTCAGTTATAAATAGAGGGAGTAACCCCTATTTTTAAAAGTCAAGTAAGTCAATTCATTGTAATCATAGAATTTGCAGTTGCAAGTGATTAAGAAAGTTTTCCACAATTTGTGGACAGAGAGAAACTCTGCTGAAATATTTGTCTTGTCTTCTTTTCTTTGTTTGTCTCATAATTAAATTGTCATTGTGGTAGAAATTCATCATAGAATTTGGTGGATTTCCAACAAAAATGACGGAAATTTTTATCCCATTTAAACGAACAGAAGAATAATGTTCCTAAAAAAAAATAGTGTTAAAGCTAAAGCTATAACTTCCCTTAGGGCGAATAAGATGCGGGCCTAGATCATCATCTCCAGATTTACAATGAACGGTTAAGTCCACATTATTTCTTAAATCGTTTGAAACTCTCACTTGCACTCCTAGAGCATTGTCCATTGATAGACACATCAGGACACATAGAAATAAAAAATATCTTGTAAGAGGAGACATTACTCATTTAACTAGTCTTTTTATTTGAAAGTCAATACCTTTTGTTACGTGAAAGTTACAAAAACTATTTAAAGAGGAAACAAATATTTATAGGATATATTTTGGAAAGAATAGAAAAATAAAATCAAACATTATGGTGTCATAAAAGCCATTCATTTTGCTTTTAATTCAAGCTTTACTAATATTTGATTGGAAACTAATTCAAATATGCTATTCTTTCTTCCAACTCAAGATCCTAAAATCGGGCCTTAGTCCATTCAAACTAGATTGCTTAATGTGGGTGCTAAGGTTAGAAAATGGAGTTTTTCACCACTTATATTTATAAGGACGCGCCATTGTAGAGCCCCGTGTAGTGTGGCATGTTCCTCTTATGTTTCTTGCTTCATCTTTGTATCATGATATGTTAAGTTTGTCTAATTGTAGATTTGTTGGTGTTTAAGGGATTCATTTTAGTCCCGCACTACTTTTTCTCAGATCTATTGAATTTTGAATTTATAAAAAAAAAAACATTAAATATATTAATAATTTAAATAATTAATTTTATTTATTATTTTATGTAGATATAAAATAATTCAAAAGTATTAAAAAAAATAAAATTATACATTTCAAGAAAATCATTAATAATTTAACAAAACATTTCTACAAAAATCACATGTCACCGATGTAAAACTCATGTTTTTTTTCAAACTATAAGATTTTGTCCTGGTTTTTGTTTTATTGGATCCCATGTTTTTAAATGTTAAAAAGAGTTATATAAGAAATTAGTAATCACTTTTAATCAAATTATAACTTATTTGTTATTTTAACATAAACAAATTATCTACTACTTCTAGCAAATGCGAACGATCATATGTTGGATGCCATTACTAGACTACGAACCCATGATCTAACAGTTGTGTGTTGTATACTAGTGGATTTACCTCTCCTTCTTGATAATAAAAAAGAAAACATTCATAAAAACAAAACATTTATAAATTTTGTAATATGTATTAAACAATATATATTTAAATCGAATTTGAGAAAAAAATATGTATTTTTAATATATATTTTCTAAAATATATGACCTTGACTATATTTTTAATTTTTATATATATATATATATATATATATATATATATATATATATATATATATATATATATATATATATATATATATATATATATATATATATATATATATATATATATATATATATATATATATATATATATATATATATATATATATATATATATATATATATATATAGTTGTACATAATACATATCATAAGTGCATAAATGATATTACAAAGTCATTTACAAAAATTTAATAACATCACTAGTACAAGATCGTATGTTCTTATCAAGAAATACTACAGATCTTCAAAATACAACAATGTAAATAACTCTAGAGGCATCTTTAAGTTTCCTGAATCAGGTTAACCTCTGTCTTAACTTGATGAGAAGTACTTGAAAATGATCAACAATAGTAGGATAAGATTACTACATGCCAGTGAGTTCTATTTTATCAACAAATTCCACTCGACTCAACAAGTTTAAAAAAGCTTCAATGTTTCTTTCTTCCTTTATGTTTCGAGAACCCCATGCAACTTCTTTTTCCCTTCGTTCCTTTAATTTCACGTGTTCCTTTTTTTCTCTAATCTTTTATGATGTCTCTCTTTTTAAAAAAGAAAATAATTAAAATGAGTGAAAGTTAGTAAAGAGACCTCCTTAAGAGAAATTAGTAATTTACTCTTCACTTTTCATGAATTTCAAATGTATGTCATTATTCCAACAATTTCTAAACTAAATCTTAATGTTTTTCATTTATTCATTTATAATTAATAACATTAGGCTCTTAAATAGATTTAAGATGTTATAGATATTACCACTCTCGGGATGGAAATTTGGCTCATTCCAAGTGGGTACCCACAAAAATACCCACAACGAGTAGGGTAAACCCGCAAAAATGGGTATTGGAAACTACCCATTAAAATAAACGGGTATCGGTGCATGTAGAAGTACCTTACTACCCACTCCGCCACATACCCACACTATATGTTTATATAATGTCATTTATATTATTATATAAAAATGCATTTTTATCAATTTATAAAAAATATATCGTTATTAAACCATTACACATTTTAATAAATTTTTTATTTATTTCTTAACTCAACAATAACTTCAGGAATTTTTTTATTATTTTAAAAAAATATAAATTATATGATAGTTTAAAATTATTTGATTTAATTTTACTACAAACACGGGTAAACGGTTATGGGTATGGGTATTGAGGTGCCCATAAGGTACGAGTACGGGTATAAATATTGTTGCCCACACGGATTTGGACTCAGGTACGATAATATATTCAAATTGCGGATATGGGGACTGGTACTATAGTACCCTGACTAAACCCAACCCATTTCCATACCTATACACTCCTTCTATAGATTAAATTTTTTTAAAAATTATATAAAAAACAATATTAAATTTTGTAATATAGTTTAAACAGTATATTGATTAACGAAATTTGCCTAAACTATATATTTTGAATATATACCAGCCAAAGAAAGCTACCTTTAATATATATATATATATATATATATATATATATATATATATATATATATATATATATATATATATATATATATATATATATATATATATATATATATATATATATATATATATATATATATATATATATATATATATATATATATATATATATATATATATATATATAACAATTAATTGTGTTTTTCATTAAAAAAAATTGAAATTAGAAAATATCCATACACTAATAAAGTGAGTAATATATTTTAAATGCATATTATTGGTCTTTTACTGAGTTTTCTCTATTTATTTTTATAAAAATAAAAAATTTCAGCGCCTACATTTAAAAATAAATACTT